TTGGGGGTGATATGCTGACTCTGTAAACCGCTTAGAGAGGGCTGAAAGCCCTATGAAGCGGTATATAAGTCTAACTGCTATTGCTATTGCTATTTGGATATTCTTGGATTAGTCATACATTTTACTTTCTGAATTTTTCTACGAGCGCCTGGGTGCTGAACTGCAGCTTTATTTGATGATGCAAAATATATCAAGAAATTTACCCTTATTTCTTAGCTGTTGTAAATAATGAAATTCAGTCCTCAACTAATCAAATTTTCTGTGGATATTCTCTCTCTCTCATTAACTTCCTTCTCTTCTCCAGACTTCATTTTATTTTACTCACTGACCTCTGGGGGTCTTGTTTCCAAATTGGTATTTACTATTTAGACTTCCAATAGAACAGCCACCCATCTTGATTCGCCTTAACTTGGTCCCTTGACCAGTTTCCCAGACCTCAATTTACCCACGTGGATTCTCCTCCTTAGTCAATTTATAAGCTGTAGTCCAACATTTTGCTTTCTTTTTTTACTTAGAAGATAGCAAATATTTAGTTTGAAATCCCATTTAATTGGTTCTTGTTGGCCCAACAAGCAAGTAAAAAATAAATTTCTCTGTAAACGTTTGTAAGTTCTGAGCAAGTATGCCAGTATGTGTTTATTGTTCTGTATCTAAACTGTATACTAAGACTACATTATACTATTAGAATTAAGAAATATAATTTAAGCAGATTGCTTCGCATGTGTCAACATTCATTTTTCTGAGTAGATAAAATTATTCCTTTCCTTTTAGGAATGCTGTTAGTTCTTACTCTGATATCCAGGTAAGATTTTGTTACTTAAATATAAATTATGAATCTTTCAATAGAATGTGTAATGATATAACCATTCACTATAGTAAAGAAAAGGTTATAGAGTAATGGAGGGAAAATATGTTATATTATACTGACCTTTGTGTGGTATTAAAATATTTGAATTAGTAATAAGTACTGGCATCTTAGTAGAAAGTTCCTTTCATTATCAGTTTTTAAATTCATTTTCTTTACAAACTCGGGGAGAATTTGAGAAAGACTCTGTTTTTTATTTAAAAATTGGAAAAGGGGTTTTAGGCTGCGAGATTGGTGTCTTAAGCATCTCTAAGCTTTAAGGCAGTGTTTCTCAACCTTGGCAACTTGAAGATGTCTGGACTTCAACTCCCAGAATTCCCCAGCCATTTGCATACCATATAATTTCAAGAGGAAGCTCTCTTTAAAGAAGAAGTAACATGACAAACACAAAATACGAATGCTAACCAATTCTTTAATAAATACCGATAAGCTAATTTTAGAGCTGTGGTTCAAAGACCGTTTGGGCAATCAATTCCACTTGTTTCTTCTGTATATATATATAAAATAGCTTATGGAAGCCTTTTAAAAAAAACCAGTGGAACTCTTTGCTGTCCAAAATGAGACCATCCATTCCTTACCAGAAAGAATTTAGTAATTTGTTATTATCATTATACTACTGATATGCAAAGTTGGAACCAAGCAACATGGGCTGGGGAAGAGTGAGTAGCTAGAACCGTGATGGTGATCCTATGGCACGGATGCCAGACAAAGCGCTCTCTGCGGGCACGCGAGCTGTCGCTCCAGCTCAGCTCCACTGCACATTCGCGTGTGTGGGGTCACACATGCATGAATGGTGGGTGGGGTGTATGTGGGGGGCGTGTGCGCATGTACGGTTGGCACAGGGGGGCACGTATGCATGGGGACGGGAGTGTGTGGGGGGTTGCACACACATGCATGAGAACGGGGTGCATGGGAGTGCATGTGTAGGGGGGACGCGGGGTTAGGGTGTTATGAATTGCATTATGGGTGCATAATGGCATGGGACGACTAAAAGGTTAGCCATCACTGGACGTTTGAGGAAAGCTTCACTTTAATGTGTAGCGTATAGACCAATTGAAAGCTTGGGAAGACCGCAATCTCAACGGCAACGCGTATTACTAGATTGAGTGATAGGCTTCACCTGTTTCTTTAAGGGGCCAACAAGATGCCTTTGCACTTATGCTAGATAGAGATAATTTAGGTAGCTGTTTTTCCAAATGAATGCTTTTAAAATTTGAACGTTTTATTAGATTAAAAGATACTGATCTATGATATCTAAGTTCTGTATGTACGTTTACATCTGTTTTATTCACATTAGCTGCTCCTCATGCTTACTTTAGTACTAATGGGATACAAAGTGCTTTTTAAACATTTGCACCTCCTCTCTTTCGTCAGAACTGGCTCCAGCTAGGAAATAAGCACAGAGCTACTGCAGCCACTGGAATGAATGACAAGAGTTCTCGATCTCACTCTGTTTTCACGTTGGTGATGACACAAACCAAGGTATTAAGAGGACTGCGTTAAAAGGTTGTGTACATTTGCTGATGGTGGCTTTATCATAAGACTTTTCAAACATTGACAATATTAATCAAATAACTTTCTACTCTGAAGAAGGTAGAATATTCATTTTCACTGCTGCTATTCTTCCCAGCAAAGATAGCTGTAGTTTCTCCCATTTTTTTCATCTCTGTCTGTATACTATGACAGGAAATGATTTTGAGGGATGACAAAAATGGGCATGAAATATGCCTTCTCTAAGGAGGAGGATTCGCAACCTTTCCTGATCAAAATTATTTTGGCTCTTAAAAAAGCTTGCCCTTGGATGGATTATGAAAATGAAAACTGCTTCCTCTTGAATTTTCAGAATCCTCATTTGTCTCGAGTGTTGCCCTCTTTAACCTATAGCAGACTTGGTAACCATTCCTATTTAGTAGGTATATTAACAAAACTGGTCTCTGATTTTAGCCAATTTTAGATTTTTCTTTCTATCCTTTCATTTTTAACGTGCTGGCAGCATTTATTGACTATGCATGTTATTGCTATTGAAATTGTAATATAAAATTGCTATTATAATTTTATTATTGCTATTAAAATTATAAAAATTGTAAAATTGCATGTTATTGTAAAATTGTTGGGGAGCCACACTGTATGAAGGAGGAGATCCTTCTGTATTTGTTATAAATATGTAAACTGACTTGTTGCTTTGGGGAGTTTATAGTGAGTTTAATCACAATCATCCATGTATTTGTTTTAGACAGAGATTGTGGAAAAGAAAGAATATGAGCACAGAATCATCAGTCGTGTCAATCTGATAGACTTAGCAGGGAGTGAACGCTGTTCTACAGGTCGAACCAGTGGAGAAAGACTGAAGGTATGTATACATAGGCGGTTTTTTAATGGAAGTGCTTGCCTTGTTTGTCTCATTCTCCGTACCAAACAGATATGCTGCCGCAGATTTTGAATGTTGATTGATTTAATTGCAAAACAAATAGCACATATGATCGTTTATAAGAGTTTTTGATCACCTAATTATTGCCAGCTCATACAGCTTATAAGAGTAAAACCAGCAGAAATCAGTCAGTTTATTGCAGTCTTAGTTGTATCTGTCCACCCCGTGCCAATTCAGTGAAGCGGTGCCAGTGATGTGCCAGTGCCTGGAAGCTGTCAGGTTCTGGATGGGAATGAACAAGTTTGCACTCAACCCTGACAAGACCGAGT